TTGAAATCGCTTTTATTTCACAGATTCAAAATAATAATTTCCTTCCAATTCGCTTCGAATTCACTTTTATTTTATTCAAATATAATTTCTTTTTATTTATCTTTGGTGACAACATTCAAATTCAAGCAGAAAAACCCTACTGATACGAACTCACTTTTTAAATTCTTCGATTCCGAACGAAAAAAAAAAACTCAATGTCAATAATATATTTATCGCCTGAGGGGAATATGCTTTATGTACTAAGAATTATCAAGTGCCTGCGAAGCATTTGAACCGTTTTTCCCCTACCACATAGACTAATTTGGCTTTAATGTATTTTCGTAAATCATGAAATTATCAAAAGTGATGTCATTCAATCACAAATAATGTTTTTTTTTTTTTACAAACGATCAAACATGACTGTGTATCTTATCATCATTTCACTTTCTATTTAAAATTCATACTATCTCATTCCAAAAATGAAGCACCCAAATGTTCAATGCCAAAATGAGACAAATAAAATCTGTGAGAAAAAACGCAACATATCCCTTCTATGCATACACATGTGCATACATATCGTAGCCTTAGTGTGGGAAAGGTATTTCATTTTAAAGAATCATGCCTTTTTTTCCGAAAAGAATTTTTTCAACATGTTTTGAGTATCTGAGAACCCCTTCGATGACATTGTTTGTGTAATGATGTACTAGATTATAAGCATTTTGACAGCTGACATAAGACAATACATTGTCACACGATAGCTCTTCAGTTGAGTATCAACCATCATACGATGCATACGTGCATTATAAATACACTAAATAAAAATTATTATTTAAGTTAATCCGGCATATTTTTATTATAAAAAGACCTTCTTTTTACAGTTTGCAGATAGGTTTCATGTACTTATAGAACGGAAAAACCCAAAACATTTACATTAGATTCACTGTACTTACATATTCCTCGAATTTTAAATTGTGATAATGTTGATGCAAATGATTGTGAAACGAATGAATAATAATGCTTAAGCTGAATCATCTGTTTTTGACCGAAAAAATAATAATAAAAATTGAAATGATTTGAATTGAATCAAACATTTAGTTTATTCCTTTGAAAAAGAAAATATGCAAAAAATCTGGAGCACAATACAATTTCTGTTTGTTTTGAGAAAGAATGAAATGAACTAAACACGACAATTTTTGCACAACAAGTAAAAACAACTTCTGTTGTAACTTGCTCCAATTTCTGCGGCATCGTTCAATTATACGAGTGTTCATTGGCGTTTCATTAAGGCATTTTAATTTATAGTTCTACCATCCTCTGTTTTACCTGACAAGCAATCATTTAAACAAGATCTTATATCCGTAAAAAACCAACTTTTCCGCACTTCTTTCAAATTTCTTCTTTTCCCATATGATCCACTGTTTTTCGAAGGATGTTAAACAATGAAAACTATTCGATAACCAACTTAACTTCAATAGAGCAGAAAAATCAAGAACAATAAGCTGCAGACGATGATACAAAAGATCTTTTTGATTGGACATAAACATTGAAAAAATCGGAAAATTCATTCTATCTATTGTTCGAAATTTTGAATCAAACATCCTCTGCAGCTTATTGTTCTTAATTTTTCTGCTCTATTGAAGTCATATTATATATTTTGATATTCATCTGACTTCAACTTGAATTAAATCGAACGTGAGTATTTTGCATTCACAAATTTTCGACGTCATTAAATTATTATTAGTGATACGACGCTTCATTAAAATGAAAACAGCTTAACCAGAATACTTCAAAATTATGTAAAATTGTGCTATGTAACCCTTTCAATATGTACAGGGGGAGGGGAAAGTTTCCGACCTGACACATAAAGACACATAGTATTTTTAAATGAATGCATTTATTATTCAAAGTGGTCTCCCTTAACACGAATTACACTTTCATAACGATGCTTCAATGCTTTAATTCCTCCTTCAAACCATGCGGCGTCTTTGTCCTCCCAAACGTTGAAAATATCGGTAGATATCTCTTCATCGGACTCATATTGCTTCCCCTTGAGGTATCTTTTAGTATTTGGAAACAGGAAATAGTCGCTGGGGGCCAGGTCTGGTGAATACGGTGGATGGTGAAGTTGTTCAAACCCACACTCCTTGATGGCAGCTCTTGCAAGCAATGATTTGTGAGATGGTGCGTTGTCATGCAGAAGAAGAACTTTTCGAGTGAGCAAACCAGGGCGTTTTTCTCTAATGGCTTTGCGCAATCTATGCATCTGTTGAGCATAATAATAGCCCGTGACTGTGGTGTTCTTTGGAAGGAATTCAACCAATAGTATGCCTTTGGAATCCCAGAATACAGATGCCATTACTTTGCTTGTAGCAATTTGTTTGCGTGGCACTTTTGATGCTGGTTCACCACGTTTATGCCACTCCATCGTTTGTGATTTGAGCAATGGATCATAGTAGTGAATCCAGGTTTCATCACCAGTCACGATTCGATCAAATGTATCCTCTTCATTCCATTCCAACAACTCGAGAAACTCATGTGCGGCAGCAATTCGTTCTTCTTTCTGAGCTCTGTTCAAAGTTCTTGGAATCCATCGTGAGCAGACCTTTTTCATATGCAATTTTTCATGAAGTATGGTGAAAATACTTCTCTCTGAGATGTCAAACATTGCCGCCAACACTTTCTTGCTCATCCGAGGATTTTCATGCACGAGGTGGTCAATTTTTTCCACCACATCTGGAGCAGTTGCTTCAATTGGTCGACCAGAACGAGAATCATCCTCCAACGATTCTCTGCCCCACTTGAATTGCTTTGACCAGTCTTTGACCGTGGTATACGACGGAGCAAGGTCACCATAAACAGCCCGCAAGCGATCATTGATATCTTTTGGTGCTACACCTTCTTTTGTGAGAAACTTTATAACCGCACGATATTCGATTTTATCCATTTTTTTAAAAATCTCGAGGTTACTTGGTACACAATGCTAGAGAAAACAATCGATGACAGATATCAACTCAATTTTTTTTCTAAAATACTAGTGACAGTTGGTACGTCAAATACATCACAAGAACAATTTGTAACTAGCGCTCTCTATATGTCAGGTCGGAAACTTTCCCCTCCCCCTGTATTTGATTGAAATTCAAAGCAAACTGTGGTTTTTACGGTGAACAATGAATGTTGTTACAAAACAACATGAACTGGAATGTAAATCAAATGTCAACATATAAGGTTATTCAATAGGTATGAAACTTTCGGTAAAAAATCGTGAAAAATGAAAAAAAATAATTAATTTTTTTTCATCAATTCTCAAATACTACTTAATTTTCTGTATCACCTGGTGAAATCAGAATGAAAAAAATCGCATTCCATATCATCTAAATCACGATCTGGACTTTTTTTCACTGTTTGAGTGCTCTATACCGAGTCTCCGAGTGTTTCGTATAAACTTGCTATGTGATGCCTATTGAATAGTAAGCAAATTACAATCGTGATTGAATCAATAGGCGTCATTTGGCTGCTACATGGCAACTTTATATGAAACTGTCGGGGACTCGGTAGAGAGCAAAAAAGTGAAAAAAAAAATATTTTTTTTTTTCTCATTTCTCGAACACCACTAAATGGTCTGTATCATTTGGTGTGATCAGAACGTAAAAATGTGTCATCTTTGTCACCCAAATCGTTGTCCAATACTATCTCGCTCCCCCTTGCATGTACAACGGATATCCCATTCACACACAACTCGCACTTATATTTTGCTGCACAATAAAATTGTTGACAATGTATTTGGTAATCGCTTTGAGTTTTGTGTCGACGATTTTTACAACATTCATTGTTCGCCGAAAAAACTACAGTTTTCTTTGAATTTAAAAGAAATTGCATTAAATATTTTTCACCAAAATAAACAAAGAAATATGAAAATGTAAAAAAAGTCTATAAAAATATAGAAGATAATATATAGAGACTATAAAAAGTCTCATAAATTGTGAATCAGCAAATATTTCGTTGCTAATCGGTAAAACCCATGCTCCTTTGTTTCTTAAATTCGGTTGAAATACATGAATTTGCAGTTCGAAGTGAGAGTTCGTTTACACTGTCGATTTCACTTGTGATCTCTTTGCCTGAGTTTAAAACCGGAGAAACTGTAAGACTACCGCAAACTGTAAAAGTTGTTAATCCGGTGCCTATGAACGAAGGGCGCATCACAATTTTAAATGAACCTCCATTACACTCATACAACTAAAGGCTCATAAACAACCATTGCCATCATGGAACTAATCGGTACTCAAAAAAATAAGTCTGCTCTCTATCTGTCTGTCTCTCCCTCCGGGCAGAGTTCATCAGTCACCTTAATGTGCGTGCTTGACTGGGGAGGGAGCTGCATTCATCAATCTATCTCAAAATAGCGGATAAGGGTAGATGTAGCCTTTTCATTTTGTATTGATTATTGCGAATAAGTGTAAGCAATGAGAGGATGTGAAGACTTCAAGTCTCTTTGAGCCGACGGTGGCGCACCGAATTTCAAAGGGGACGTCAATGTAATTTTACAACTCAAATCGAAACTAAACAGCGCGCCAATTTTAAAATTTGCTGTCATTTCCTCCCATTGAGTGTAAGCGAGAGAAAGACATGAGTTTTATTTTGTGAAACATTTTTTTATTGCTTTAATTCCACAAAGGCATTTTTATGAGACAATCGAAAAAAAGCAAAAACCTTCAATCGAATTATAAACATTTTTATATCAATTGACGTCATATTTTTCACGTGAAAAACAAATTCAGCTTCGTCATAAAACATTTATCAAAAGAAAATATTCCATATTATTTATGCGTCATCAAAGTCCTCATTTTGGTAAGCTGTATAAATATTGATTGATCTTGTAAGAACAATAAATTTCTTGCATCACTTGCAATAATAAGAAACATATAATATCTATTTTGGAGGTTTCGTTTTCTCTACTTTCATCGATTCTGCTTTTAAAAACTTTTGAGCTTTGGAAGATTTAATACACTTTTGTTTAAAGAATTGAATTAGATATATTACCACAGTGAAAATTGCCCCAAACGCTCCATTTGTACCGTTCATTAATTTGTTCATTAAGAGTTACTAAGAACTTAAAAATGTCTCATTTTCGAATATAAAAATTTCCTTTTTAAAAACCAACTAAAGTGATTTAAAAATGTTCGAGAAACCTATCCGAAAAAATCATTCCAAATTTTGGATTGTTATGGTGTTGTTGACATTGTCAGTGGAGTATGTGAAACCAAACGACTATTTTGACCTGATAATATTACATACGAATGACATGCATGGACGATTCTTGCCGATCGATTCCTCATTAGAATCGTATCGCGGATCCGATATGAATTCAAACAAGGGTTTTGGAGGCTTCGCCCGAATATCGCGTGTCCTAAAGGATTATCGGCAAGCGGCAAAAAATGGAACCGGACCGCCAGTTCTGTATCTTGGTAAATACATATTAATCGGTAATCGTTATATATCGAGGTTATAACATATGTTTTAATATAGACGCAGGCGATATATTCACTGGGTCTCGATGGTTTAGTTTGTTCAAGTCGAATATTACGGCTGATTTTATGAACATTTTATATCCAGATGCAATGGTGAGTTGAATACCATTCCCACACTGGGTGTGCGGAAAAGTAAAAGCGCACTACAGTTTTATATCAAAATAGTATACGACTAATAAAAACTCAATTGTAGTGTTTGGGTAATCACGAATTCGACCATGGAATTGAAACGTTGCAGCAATTTTTGAATCGAGTCAAATTTCCTGTATTATTTTCGAATTTTGAGAATGGCGCTAATCATTCTTTACGACGAACTAAATGGCTTATGCCATCCTGTACTATCCGAGTGAAAGGTGTTCGAATCGGTATCATTGGTTACCTTACACCGGAAACGAGGGAAAAAGCACCGGATTGCGATGTGAAATTCACATCGGAAATAATGACGATCAAGTGAGTAAAAAACTTGAAGAAAAAACGACCAAAGTCATGACCACGTCTCATTTCAGCGATGAAGCAAGAGAATTACATAGGAATGGTGCGAACATTATAATTGCGTTGGGTCATTCGGGTTTTAAAATGGATTTGGAAATTGCTGCGAATTGTCCACGCGTTGATATTGTAATCGGAGGGCACAGTCATAAATTTCTTTACACAGGACGCCAGCCAGACACAGACTCAGCTGACGGAGCGACTTATCCCACTATTGTCACGCAAGCGAATGGAAAAGAGGTTCCTGTCGTTACGGCGTTTTGGGCAACAAAGTATTTAGGCAAATTAGAATTGAGGGTTAGTTCAACAACGTTCCATCTGGACGTACCTTTCATCTAAATCAAACGTTTTGTGTTTTACAGTTCAAAAACGGGCGGCTTTATAAATGGGGTGGTAACCCGATTCTGCTCCATCCACAAATTCCCCAAGACCGTCAAGTAATGGCTCTCGAAAAAGAGTATCGAAAGAGAGAAAGGGAAGTGTCAGGTCCGCCTATTGGACAATCAAAATTGGATTTTAACGATCTAAAATGCCGGATATTAGAGTAATTACAAATAAATTCCCGTTTTTCATTCAAAATAATCAAATTATCATCATGTTGATACTTTTAGATGTGGTCTTGGTAACATAATGACAGATTCATTTGTTAAAGAATCTTTGAGCGCCTTAGACGATATTTCATTTATTTCGACCATTGCATTATTTACCAGCGGATCCATTCGCAGTGGATTAAGAGCTGGAAACATAACACGAACCGATTTGGAAGAAGTATTGCCTTTTAATAATGATCTTGTGATTGTTAAATGTCCAGGTGATATATTACTTCAAGCGCTTGAATATTCGGTACGAAAATATCGTGAACAACGATTCATCGGGACATTTTTACAAATATCTGGCATGCGAGTGGTTTTTGATATGGCACGCAGTCCTGGCAATCGAGTTAAAACGGTCGAAATTCGCACCACACGAACGGCGTACGAAAAACTCGATTTTAGACGACAATATAATGTCATAATCACGTCATTCATGCATAGACAAAGTGTTGGATTTGCTATGTTTGGTGTAAGTAACTTCATTTTTTTTTTTTGTTGAATTTATTTTTGTCGTATTTATTTTAATCAAATTTGAATCTTTTTCATGCGATAGATATGCAAAGCTAAATACTTACCAGTCATGACATTGGATGCATTCCAAAAATACGTAAAAGCTGAAAAGATAATTAAACCAGCATCTAGGCAAGAAAGACGCATTACGATTCTTAATGAACCACCACTACTGCCCAGCTCACCACCATTTCATTCATATAATTAAGATTTGATATTTATCTGAATTAAAAAGTTTTATTCATTTTTTGGAAGATTTTTTTCATCTAGTTTTTCATTGAGTTGTAAATTTTTATGCAGAATTTTAGCGAAATTAAAAATGTGTTTGACAAAAAAATGTCACTTCATTCCGAATAGTCGGCCTATAGAAAGAACTATTGTTGCTTCGTTTTTATCACTATTGGAGATGTATTGTAGGGGACCTTCACTGTCCCCTTAACAAGAATCCTTTGTCAATGTGTACCCATCTTGGGTAGAAAATGTATTTTCATCCGGATCGCAATACTGTCCGGGACTAAGGCCATCTTTAAAGGGTGCAAGATATTTGTAATTACTATTCAAATAGATACTGCTGCATTCGTTTAAAGGTTTTGTTTTAACTTCGATTTTACGTAATTCGTTTGATAGAGTCTGGACTGAAGTTCGATGAAGATGCAGACAAATAAAAAGTAATTATTACAAGCGTTCTTGAAAAAACCTGAACCTAAGAGAAGTGGCTGGCAATTTACACGTTAATGAGTTTTTACAAGTAAGTATAATATAAATAGATATTTTGAGTACCGAACCAAAAGCAAAAAAAGTGTACCCTGTCCATGTTTTTGATACAGATACAAATGACCGTCGACAAATGGCGATATTCACTTCACTCATATAATGGAGAAGGCGGTGTCTGCTATCGTTAGGAGACTTTTGGTTTTTCATTCTAGAGTTATCATTGCTCAGAGAAATTGAACAGTGTGAACATAAATGTTCATTGTATTTCAGTGAAGTTGTTTCAGTGTGAATCGTCATTTTACACTTTGAATTTGCAAGTTCATTGTAAAACGATTTTGCGTGAAAATAACAATTTTTTACTTAACCTTCATATATTGGCTTAACCTTCATATAAATACCTCCTTTCGAACTTATGATTTCAAATCACATGCCCCTCTGCCAAATCGACAATTTTGAATATTTTTTCAAACTCTCGAATGTTTTGAGTTCTTAGAGAGCACTCTTACTGGCTTCTCAGTGTCTCCACTCATTTGAATAACTTTCAATCTTGACTTTTAGTACGTAGAATTGGCTTAGCCGTCATATAAATACCTCCTTTCGAACTTATGATTTCAAATCACATGCTCCTCTGCCAAATCGACAATTTTCAATATTTTTTCAAACTCTCGAATGTTTTGAGTTCTTAGAGAGCACTCTTACTGGCTTCTCAGTGTCTCCACTCATTTGAATAACTTTCAATCTTGACTTTTAGTACGTAGAATTGGCTTAACCTTCATATAAATACCTCCTTTCGAACTAATATGATTTCAAATCACATGCCCCTCTGCCAAATCGACAATTTTGAATATTTTTTCAAACTCTCGAATGTTTTGAGTCCTTAGAGAGAACTCTTACTGGCTTCTCAGTGCCTCCACTCATTTGAATAACTTTCAATCTTGACTTTTAGTACGTAGAATTGGCTTAACCTTCATATAAATACCTCCTTTCGAACTTATGATTTCAAATCACATGCCCCTCTGCCAAATCGACAATTTTCAATATTTTTTCAAACTCTCGAATGTTTTGAGTCCTTAGAGAGAACTCTTACTGGCTAGGGGCTTTCATCATTCGTTCATACAAATTTATACACAATATTCACGTCCTATTCATCATATATACGATTAAAATTTCTCGCCTATACCAGTGAATAAGATGTATTTCAAACTGCAGTGTACACACATACACAGTATAGCTACACAGAATCGAAGAAGATCCGCACAAAAGAGAATGAAAAAACATGCCATAGACGAAATATACACGAAATATACACCAAATATATGCAGTTATGCACATTTATTTGCGCGTATTACAGATGATTCTGCAATATAGTTCACTATTTACAGTATAAATCGTATACATTTGAAGATAAAAGCCCCTAGCTTACTGGCTTCTCAGTGCCTCCACTCATTTGAATAACTTTCAATCTTGACTTTTAGTACGTAGAATTGGCTTAACCTTCATATAAATACCTCCTTTCGAACTAATATTTTTTCAAATCACATGCCCCTCTGCCAAATCGACAATTTTGAATATTTTTTCAAACTCTCGAATGTTTTGAGTTCTTAGAGAGCACTCTCACTGGCTTCTCAGTGTCTCCACTCATTTGCAAAACTTTCAATATCGACTTTTAGTACGTAGAATTGGCTGAACCTTCATATAAATACCTCCTTTCGAACTAATATTTTTTCAAATCA